TAATTAAAAAAATTTAGACAGAAATTAAATTTTGTTGTGTCTGAGTGAAAGGGGGTCGGGGGGGGGGGGCTGTGTCTGAGTGAAAGAGGGTCTAGCCTAGCAAACCTTTTGTATCATTACCCCAATACCCCCATGCATATGGGATATATTGAGTATGGTGATCAGATCATGATATGAATAAACATAACAGTTTAAATAATGCACCAGTAAGGCCTTTTCGCGAACCACTATGAGAATTTGGGGGGGGGGGGGGGCTGAAGCCCCTCAAGCCCCCCCCCCCCCCCCCCCCCCCCCCCCCCCCCCCCCCCCCCCCCCCCCCCCCCCCGCCTCCCCCCTGCCAGCAACTACAATTCCCAAGTGACAAAATCAATCCCCCCCAACCCCACGTTTCGGGTATTTGTGCCCAGTTTGGTCCAGTGAATAAAAATACATTCTGCATGTGTCAGATATTTACATTATGATTCATAACAGTAGCCAAATTACAGTTATAAAGTAGCAACAAAAATAATGTTATGGTTGGGGGTCACCACAACATGAGGAACTGGATTAAGGGGTCACGGCACTAGGAAGGTTGAGAAAAACTGGCTTAACCCATTACGCCACCGGGGACTCCCCGCTTTCTGATACTCCTATGACAATTGTGATGGGTATCTCTCTCCTGCATCTGTCTGCCATTGACTTATTATATAAGCCTCGCATTAAGACCCATTTGTCGCCCCGTAGTAACAAGGATTTAACCTGATCCTACATTTCGGAGTTAGCTGTTGTGATACACCGAACTCTTTGATACCTCTGTTCTGCTGCTCCAAATCTCTTCTTTCGAAGAAAAATCTAAATATTTTTGTGCTGTGGAGCCAGCTAAAAGCCATCGTTCGGGAAAGGAGACAGAATGGGGAACCTCCCCTGCTGTGAAAAAGAACAGGGAAAAGAAACACAACAGAATAACTGCCCTGCTTCTGTTTCCTACACGAATAACACCCTCTTCAATGTGTCGTTGAAGGCTTTCATGGCTGGAATCACTGGGTTGCTGTGAGTTTTCTGGGCTGTATGGCCATGTTCCAGAAGCATTCTCTCCTGACGTTTGGCCCACATCTATGGCAGGCATCCTCAGAGGTTGATAGGTCTGTTGGAAAAAAGGCAAGTGGGGTTTATATATCTGTCGAATGTCCAGGGTTGTCTGTTTGAGGCAGGTGTGGATGCTTCAATTGGCCACCTTGATTAACATTTAATGGCCTTGCAGTTTCAAAGTCTGGCTGCTTCCCGCATTGGAAAATCCTTTGTTGGGAGGTCATTCGCTGGCCCTGATTGTTTCTTCTCTGGAATTCCCCTCCTTTTTTAGTGTTGTTCTTTATTTAATGTTTTGACTTTAGAGTTTTTTGTAAATGCTTGTTTCCTCAACAGAAAGCAGGAAACCATGAAAATTAACAAAATATGGCTACCAGTATTAAAAAAACTCTAGAGTTTTTTAATACTGGTAGCCAGATTTGGTTCATTTTCAACAATTACTGTTGAAATTGTCCACATGCCTGCCATAGATGTAGGCGGTTTTAAGGCCTGACTGGTTGCTACCTGAGGGAATCCTTTGTTGGGAGGTGTTAGCTGGCCCTGAATGTTTCCTGTCTGGAATTCCCCTGTTTTCTGAATTGTTCATTATTTACTGTTCTGATTTTAGAGTTTTTAAATATTGGTAGGCAGATTTTCTTCATTTTCATGGTTTCCTCCTTTTTGTTGAAACTGTCCACATGCCTGCCATAGATGTGGGCAATTTCAAGGCCTGGCTGGTTGCTGCCTGAGGGAATCCTTTGTTGGGATGTGTTAGCTGGCCCTGATTGTTTCCTGTCTGGAATTCCCCTGTTTTCTGACTTGTTCTTTATTTACTATCATGATTTTAGAGTTTTTAAATATTGGTAGGCAGATTTTCTTCATTTTCAAGCTTTCCTCCTTTTTGTTGAAACTGTTCACATGCCTGCCATAGATGTGGATGAAACATCAGGAGAGAATGCTACCAGTATTTTTTTTTAAAAAAAAAACCCACTAAAATGAAAACAT